GGATTCTTTAGAAATAGAACCCTAAAGATAGCTTATCTTATTTATTTTTAATAAACATATATTTTATCTATAAACTATTGTTTGCTCAAACTGTCACAGACAGAAGGGTATAGTTTCTCTAAGATGCAAAAATTATACTTACCTATTGAACACCACTATAAATCTGTAAAGGATTCTTGTAGCTGTGTCATTATTATAGTACTGCTATTAAGAAGGCTACAGTACTATAACAATACGATTAACAAACTTTTATAAGAAATGCTAAAGAAAAGAGAAAAATAAGTATATTTTATATTTGTTAAATAAAGACCACTTTGTAAAAGAAAGTTTAATAAAACTAGATGTCCAACTTGAAGATAATAAATATGAAATAAGAATAGATAATCAGCTTAGAGGTAATGAAAGTAGAATAGGAATAGATAGTTAGCTTGGAGGTAATAAAAATAGAATAAAAATAAATAGTCAACTTGAAGATGACAATAAAATAAATAATTAGCTTGGAGGTGACGATGATAAAATAGATAGTCAGCTTGAAGATAATGAAGATAGAATAAGAATAGATAGTCAGCTTGAAGATAATAAAAATAAAATACTTAGAGATAATAAAGGTATAATAAATAATTACTAGATAGATGAAAGTGAGCTTGAAGAGCAATTAGAAAGTTAAATAGAGAATATTTTAAAAATAGAAGAAATAAATAATCAAGTAACAGTGAGTATTTATACTGTATATAAGGTTAAGTGAAGTTATATAAACAATAAGAACAATAAGCTATTGTTTGTATAACTTCTATATAAATAACAAATAAATTTTATTTTAATCAGCATTATACATATAACTTAAATATATATATACTATATATATATATTTAGGAAGAATATTTATTATTTAATATAAAGTCACCTTTTATTTTTGAGTCTTTTAATATTATTAAGTTAGTAACTAGTAAAGAACTAAACTTTCTAAATAAAGAATTTGATGATTTTATGAAATTGCCAATCAAATAAAATATATTAGATACATGTAAAAATAAAATACTTGTTTGTAAAAAAATATCTGATGATAATATAGTTTTATCTACTTTAATAAAACAAGGCTATCAGTTTTTAGATTAAATAATAATGCTATATATTTCTTTTAAAAAAGTGTCTATTATGATTTATAAAAAAAAAATATATTATTTTAACTATTAGTTTATCTTTGATGCTATACAAAATTATTAAGCAATAAAAATATATTTAAACATTATATTTTTAAATTTACTCTATTATATTATAAAGAAGAAAAGATTTATTATAAACAATATACAGTCAGAGGATATAATAAATTAAGAATTTCCAAGCGCCACATCTAGAGTTCAATTCTCACTGATGGTGAAAAATTGAATTCTTTCGTATAATATCAACTCTCTTGTATATTGTAAAGAAGATCCTGTAATATTGATCATACTTTATATAGAAAGAATATCTATTGTACTATCAGGTCAATCTAAAGAAGATCTTGGGACATTTGTGTAATGTACAAGTTATACAAAGAGAATACAAAACCAGTAAGGTAGTGTAAACTCATAATAAGTTCTTGGATCATATTGATCTGATAAATGGCGCTATGGGAAGCTTGCTTGGCAAGACCTAAGTAGAGAGGTAGTACAAGCTTTCAATGGTGCTTACCAGAATAGGCTCCACCTGAGGCTAAAAAACTGAATAAGGCAAGAATATTAGCAAGTTACTCTACCAACCAGGCCATCAGATCAACCAGGGAAAAGACTAATGTCCTTTCTAGGGGACTATCTGAATTGGTAGTCTGGGGAGACCGGCTAGGAGGTACTGAAAGGCAAGGATATATAATTTAACTGTCTAAAGGCTTTTTTGGTACTGTCTAATGTCTAAATATCCAAGTATTCAAAAGTGTCTAAAGTATACTTAAGCTTTAATAAATAATAAATTTGGTTAAAATATATATAATTATATATTTTTTAGATGCTAAACATATTTTACTTAGAAAATAATATAGATTATCTTAATAAAATTTTGAGTAATTTTAATTTA